TGTGCCACACTTACAGCCTTCATGTGTTCTCGGAGACTACGTGCACGTTATAAACGGCGAAGAAGTTCGCGTACCACGTAGGAGACCAGAGCTAACGCCGGACGCCGTGCCGACGTTACTGCCCAACGCTCCAAGCTACTTATCGAAGAAAGCGCTGCATCCAAGACCTCCGAGAAAGCGGAAGAACTCGGCGGTCGAATCTACCATCTCCAAGAAAACTGCAGCACCCTGTGTTGATGGTGAGGCCACTGATTCAGGTTCATCGATGGACCTTCCTGTTGACTACGACCTCCGGGTGGCGAACACTACAGGACTGCAGCTTCGTTGGAACGCTTACTCAAGCTTTGCTTACCTTCAATTTATATGAGCTCGGTCGCACCGCATCTCGTGTCAAAGAGAGCGGTAATTTACATGCTATCAAGACTTCATTTTTTCGTGAAGGGTATCAACCAGTCTCGAGAGGCAAAACGAAAAAAAAAAAAAAGCTGCACAGGAAAATCAGTGGGTGTTCATAAAGGTGCCACCATGACGAAGTGATCGTGAACTGATAATTCCACTGAATGGCTATGAATTTGATCGGTGTTGCTGCTCACTGCAGTATGCGTGCTCGTAAATAAAGGGTTTTTTCTTGTAGTCTGACAGTGGGGCCAAGTGATGTTTTTTTTTACTGTACAGTGCAATATTCCGGCCACAGCAGCAGTATTTCAGCGGGCACGTAATCGTTTAAGGGCCCAAGATTGTCAAAATTATTTCCAAGTTTTAAGCTACGGCACACCTCTCAATCAAGTGGAAGTTTTGTTACCTTAGCCACATATTTACAATTGCATAATGCATCATCATCATCATCATCATCATCATCATCATAATCAGCCTGGTTACGTCCACTGCAGGACAAAGGCCTCTCCCATGTTCCGCTAGTTAACCCGGTCCTGTGCTTGCTGCTGCCAATTTATACCCGCAAACTTAATTTCATCTGCCCACCTAACCTTCTGTCTCCCCCTAACCCGCTTTCCTTCTCTGGGAATCCAGTTAATTACTCTTAATGACCAGCGGTTATTCTGTCTACGCGCTACATGCCCGGCCCATGTCCATTTCCTCTTCTTTATTTCAACTATGATATCCTTAACCCCCGTTTGTCCCCTAATCCACTCCGCTCTCTTCTTGTCTCTCAAGGTTACACCTACCATTTTTCCTTCCATTGCTCGCTGCATTGTCCTCAATTTAAGCTGAACCCTCTTTGTGAGTCTCCAGGTTTCTGCTCCGTAGCTAAGTACCGGCAAGATACAGCTGTTATATACCTTCCTCTTAAAGGATAATGGCAATCTACATAATGCAAATATCGACAAAAACGGTGCCACGTGCGTAACGAAAGAAGTCGAAGCTGTCGCAGTGTGCATACTATGACTCGATATAGCAGTAATATAACAAGAACCTTTCGGGTTTATAGATGCTCCTTCGATACCTCAATCTTCGTAATTTTTCACTAGTTCACCAAGCGAGTTTTAAAAACTGCAGGCAGTTTCCCCAGGGACGACTGCTTCGCCGTCGCTTGTTAATACCTACATTCGGACCGTGCGTTGCAGCTTTGACGTTTTGTTTTGTTTTGAATGCAGTACAGACACACCCATTCAGAAAGCTCTTCGCGAACGTGTCAGCAATTAAACATAAGACTATTAAGTGCGACGTGTGCAAGCGCATGTCACGGGATCGAATGCCAGCCGCGGCGGCAGCATCTTCGGCGGAGGCGCGAATACTGAGGTGCGTGTACCTAGATTTATGTGCACGTTAAAGCACCCCAGGTGGTCGGATTTCCGGAGCACTCCTCTACGGCGTCTCTCATAATCATATCGTAGTTTTGGGACGTTAAACCCCTGCTATTACTAATATCAAATCACAGAAGTGCATAAGAGGCAAGGGGTGAAGTGACAGCCCACGCTAAGGTGGCGCCATCTCGTGGCTGTCGATACCAACTGCGGCAGCCACGGCGCCTTTCTGAACACACCCCATATTCTAGAACACTATAATAACGTCGCCAATGTGCTCTTAGACTGGCTTGGCTAGAGACTTGGCTTGGCCGAAAGCCAACAGCGTTGCCAGCTCCAATTTAAAATTACCGTGGCTTTAGCTTGCAGAAAGTGGCGTGGTCAAATTTGTTATCAGCCCATGTCAACGCAGCGAAAGTCCACTATATGAGCGCAATTTAGAAAAAAAAAATGCCGCTGATTTCGTCCAATGTAGCTGATAGTCTGTTGTATTGCAGTCCGTTAAAAATGAACTTCGTTCCATTAATTAAATACACAGACCAAACTTAGGCTGAATAATGGTCCATTGTATTCGAAACCCCGTTGTACTCGGGTCCATTATAACTAGCATAGACTGTAGTAAGCTAGGACCAGATCAACCTCTGTGAAGACCAAGCTAGTGTGGCTGCAAAATCATGGATATAAGCAAGTAGATATCCATCACAGACAGTGCACTCATTTATGCATGGTAGTTGCCACAAATGTGCCAGTCGCCGGCGGCACATTTTGGTGCAATGTGCAGGGCAGACTATCAGCTGTTTGACGATGAGAGAATAATGGCTAGTTGCTGAATTGCTCAAATTCCCTGCGTGCCGTGCCAAGGCAGTCAGCAACAAGACGTCGTGGCTTGCTGAATATCTGAATACTGGACACCCAGTTGTAACGATGTGATGTGCAACGCGTTGTACTGGTTGTTCCAAATGGTTCGATTTTGTCAGTTGTGGGTAATCAGACAAAATTATTGCAAATGAAAATGCTTCGTAGTAGGGAGCCAATTGCACAGGGGCCGACGCAGGTGCGGGGATTTCCTGCAGGTACAAGCTGGTAGTACAGTCCATTAAGCGACGTGAGCGGATGTCCAAAATCAGGCGGAAGTTCGTAAAAAAGTCTGCTCCTAGTAGGCAAAGCGCGCATCAACAATAATAAATATTATAAAGTCAGATCTCGATAACTCGAACTCGAAGGGGCCCAAAAATGTGTTCTAATTAAAAGAACTTCATACTAATGAAAGCTAAATAAACAGAGGGCTCTCCATGCAGTGGCTCGTGTACATTGTGCTAACACGCGAGGGGGAAGTTTCAGAATACTTACATTTATTAAAAAATCACAGGACATCCGTCATTGATTGAAGTAATCGGTGATGCGCGTCTGCACACGTTTGCCATGCAACGAGTCAATCAATTTCGCACGCATCTTGCGAAGCATTTCTACTTTGGCTTCAGCATTCTCCTGGCAAGAGAAGTTGCGCGCGGAAATGTCCAGCGCCGGCACTCTCTAAAGACGACGACAACGACGACTGCGTAGCGGAGCCGCAGCATGATAAGCACGTGACGAGAAAAGAGGAACGTCTCCACGCGGAGAGGTGTGGCAGCTTGGGCTAGTTGGTATGACATGACGATAGTTATAGTGCAAGAACAGAACGATGACACACAGACAAGAAGGTCCTTCATGTCCTTGTCTGTGTCGTCGTTCTGTTCTCGCGCTATAACTATCGCCACGCGGAGAGAAGCAGATCAAAATTTGAGAGAAAACCAAAACGCCACGGCAGCTTTTTTTTTCTTTTTTTTGCTCTCTTCGCGTGCTTCGTTGTAAGGAGAAGGGTTACGTGGCAGGGACGGGAAAGGGGGAAGCCTGGCACCAGCGCTTGAGAGACCCCCCCCCTCCCTCAAGGCACAGAGTCGTGCTCCTGCAAGGGGCAAGGGCTGCAAAAGATAGTGCCTTTTTCCTTTTCTTCAACTACGTATTCATTCAACCCCGCGACAGCTTTTTTTTCCCCATCTCTCTCGCGTCAGCGACCGCCACGACAGGTGTCGTGGCGGTCGCTGACGCAACAGTGGGGCCAGTGGGAAAGTAATCGTATATACAGGCTGGAAGCTCCGCTAACTTCTCTAATGGCATCTCATCAGCAGCAGCCAAGATGGGAACAAGGTTTTGGGGCAGGCATTATAAGAACAACTTGCAAAGCAGCGAGCTTTTGGAGTCTTTCGTGTCGTCGCCGAGAAGCTGGCGCATTCAGTGCAGCATCTGCGATGATCGTCTATCTCCAAGCTCTTTGGCATTAATGAGTTGCTGCAGGCGGCTATGTTCCGAAACCACTTTGCGTGTCAGGCTTTGAAATGGCTTTAAAATGTTCGGTTGGGTGTGGCACACTTAAAACATCATCCAACTCGTCCGCAACCTCCGAGGGCAGCATCGAAACGGCATGCAAGTACTCCACACGTTTTGAAGATATGAAGCACAATTGAGTAAACCATAATGCTGGGTCCTTCGGCCAGAATGGTGGCAGCTACACGTGCTCGTCAGAAACTGTTTTCACGTCTGTGGTGAAGGCTTGATTCTCGTTTACAGCTGACTGCGGTTACTGTGGTAGTGTGCCGTTGTCCGCTGTCAGGCTCGTGTTAGTTTCCATCACGTCCGGGTCACTAAGCTAAAGGGATGTGACGTTTGGTGCCGATAGACAGACGTTTGTAGGAGGGCAGCGGAAAGAACGCCAGCACACGAACGCTGGAGAGAGAACATGATCTTTATTGAGCTTACCGCTTGGGATTCCTTGCACTATAAACAATAGTGGGGGCATGCCGCTACAGAACTGTTTACAGCATATATATAATATAATGTAAAAAATTACTGGTGAAAAATTATCGCATCTCTTGGTTATTCTGTATTAAATCCATATTCGAAGCTGTGTGTTCATATTCGATTTGTATTAGAAAAATGTTATACTCGTACACCCCTAGAAAATTCATATTTTTGGTTTGCTTGCAATTGTTTCAGTGTATTTTAAAGGGAAATATTACAAATTTGTGTTGGGCTGAATTTAGTTCAGCCAGATTTGCAGCACTGAGATTCTACACTGTATGCTTTTCAATGTAGCTGTGGTGGTTTTCTTTGGGCATAGACAATGTCATCGGTACGCAGCTACGCACTGTCCTGCCACTTGTCTTGGCCACAGCAGGTGACTCCTCTGACGTGTTGCAGGTATCGGCCACAGTCGGTGGAGGCGGCAGAGGCATCCCTGGTGCAGCTGCTGGCCCAACTGCTGTGCTCGGCCAACCAGTTGGGCAAGCCCTACCTGAGCGCCAAGCTGGTCGAGGTGTTGTTCTGTGCCACAGTAGCCGGTGGCAGCTGTGGCCAGCTGGCAGGGCGGCTGCTCGACCTGCCTTGTGCGCAGCAACAGCTGGGACCAGCCCTGATGCGCTTCTACACAGACGTCGAGAGCACGGGCGCCGCGTCCGAGTTTTATGACAAGTTCACGATTCGCTACCACATTAGGTTTGCTTTTCTCTGTATTTGCATGAGAAAGGGCTTTGAGGGAGTAAGAACGGACTGTGACTGACCGACAGCAGTAGTCTCCAGCTTCCCTGAGCCTTTTTTGCTTTACACATGAATGTCTCTGCTGCAGCAGTATACCATTGAGCCCTCATATAGCAGATTTGAATGCCATTAAATGCCATTGTTATAACTGGCACTGCTAAAAAAAGCAAAAAAAGAAAAGGTAAGCTGGCAGAACTGCTGCTTTAAGGCCCCTTCCTAGCTCTCTGTGATTCTATGGAAAACCACAGAATTGACATTTTTTCACAGAATTGTGAAAGCAAAAATGTCAATTCTATAAAAATTTACTAAATTCGATGATTCTCTTTTTTTATCTTCATGTAATTGCGAAAAGCCAGTTTGCTTGGAACACCCTTCAACAGGCCTTCAGGCATGCAAAAACTTGACGCCACTACTCGCAGTGCACCTAGACTGCTGTGCCGCCAAGCGGAATACACAAGCCTTCCCTTGAGGAGCGCCAATGGTAGCTCTACACAGTCGCCTCTTTGTTCGGCCATGCTAGCCCGTGATGAATCAGTGCATAAGTGGAATGTGGCGTTGCATCGAGGACATGATGAGATTGGACGGAGTGGTCACCTAGAAGGGCGCTGACAGAATCTGTGCAAGGACGAAGACGAGGGGATTTCACGCGTGAACCAGAGAAAGGAAGAGGAACATCGAGGTTGGCGCCTTAACAGCCAGCCACGCAGTAGCCAGGGAAGAGGTGGAGGACAGCCGGGGCTTCTCGGCCAGCAGCATAGTCGGACGTAGACCCGAGTGCCTGGCCAGCACCTCATTTATTTTTTTCAGTGCCTGGGCAAAGGAGCAGAGCGGAATGAAGCCACTGGAGTAGACCCACCGTCGTGTCGTCTCTCAGTCAAGAGTGCCGTGGCTTGTATAGAGTTCAGTTTTCGGCTGTATTCGCTCTTTTTAAAGTATAATGAAAATTTGTAAACGAGCAACGTGAAACTAGCACTTGTCGTTCTGGGCACCCAGCCCAGAACGACTGCGGCTACTTGATTGAGGCACTCGCGTGTCGTGTGCTAAGCATACACGTGTCGGTGATCTGAGAAAGACCGTTCTGTCACCATTATGTTCGCTTGATTAGGACTTGGTTTTTCTCACCAACTGAAAGTCAATTTTTAAAGGCAGCATTTGCCAGATGCTGATACTAAAACCTTGGATGCTTAGTGTTCTCTCATGCTTGCTACTGCCTAGTGGTGCAGCACATAATACTCAAGCCTGGAGTTCATGCACTAAATAGCACGAAATGCCACTAGACTGCTTCCAGGGATATACTTGATCACCCGTTTCCTGCATAAAGCGTTTGAGTATATTACACGTGTTGCCATCAAGAGAAAGCGATTGCCAGAAAATCGGGAACTATAACAGGTGATTCCATCACTTGAAAGCTTTCACAATGAAATTGTGCGCCGCGTTGGAGCAGTGGTCATGGTGCTTGGCTGCAGACCCGAAGGTCGCAGATTGGGTTCTGACCGTGCTGGTCACGTTTCGATGGAGGCGAAAAGGCACAGGCCTGTGCCGTCTGCCTTAAAGAACACCAGATGTTCGAAATTTCTAAAGCGCTTCGCTACGGCGCCTCTCATAATCGTGCTTTTGAAACGTACAACCCCTGATATTCCTTAACAATGAAATCGCGGTGGTATGAAAAACAAACAAAACAACTGCATATGCGAGCACGATTTCTGCTAACCGCTGTTGTTCAAGTCTAAAGTCTAATGCCAACTCTGAACTTTAGCCAATGCGACAGGCATAGAAAATGCGGCCTATTGTCAGTTACTTGGGCTCGCATGTGTACTTGATGGCAGATTGTTGCAGCCTCAGTACCCAGTCCTTCACTCTTCTTTTTTTAATTCCCTGCCTCTTGGGATGTGAGCAAAGTAGAGGCTGAATAGTTGTTGACCTGCACACCTTTATTCCATGGGCCACTCTGCCAAGCCGTGAAGGGCTCCCAAACCACCCACAGTTCGAAATTCAGTTGTGGTGAGGAAATTGTGCACAAGTGTAAAACAAACACGAAGCCGTGAGAACTTTTCAAAGCTGTGCCGTAATAGCGGAGTTAAACTTGTTTGATTATAGCAGAGTTAAACGTGTCAGAGATATTCATACGGCGCGTGACCCGAAGGCCCAAAGGGCCCGGAAAGAAGGAGGCACTGTTTCTTGGAATTTGTGGTGCGCCAGCGGCTTGTAGCACTGCCACGTGTAAAATGGTTGATCCTGACGGCATTCTACACACGCTGCACGTGTTTAGCTTAAAAGTTCGAATATGGGGACCTTTCAAACACGCCTTCATTACGACGCTGTATGTCACTTGTTTTTCCGATAACTCATGTGGTGCACGTGAATTAGCTCCCATTCAGCTGCAAGACGTAGGGCGTAATGTTCGTGTTGCGCACAGCAGTGATCGTGAGGCAGCATTGCTACTGATAGACTAATTCATTGACTGTTCAGACCTAGCGCGGTCGTGTTTAGTGATACCAATTGCCGTGCTTGCAAACGTGAACAATAGTCTTGAGTCATCACTTCTTATAACCGGTAAAATATTTGGCTTACAAGTCACAGGTACATATTCTAGTGTAGTTCGAAGATGCTTTAAGTGACCAATTATCCGACCTAATTACTCTAAGCACCCTCTACCAAACACCGGTGGCAGCTGCGTTTTCATGGAACGACATCCATACAGTGTATTAAGGGAAAAGATTTAGATGCCTTACCAAAAGTGAGAACTGATTGCCGACAGCAGCGGTGTCAACACAAATGATGCAAGGAATCGTCGTTACGTGAAGACGTCATTATATGACATCACATATCATAAAATTTTTTCACATATCAGAAGGTCAAATAACGTGATGTCTTATTATATCTTCGTATGGTCAAAATGGGCCAATCACGAACGCAGTGCATAACCAGCTGAAGGGCAGAAAGCTAGCATTGTCTCCAACTATATATACAGTAAGAAAACACATTAGGCACAGAAATATCTCGGACAGAAGCAGGAAACATTCAATGCATTGAATGGAAAGAAAAAGATGAAGATGGTTTTGCCTCTCATTCGTCTGAGGCGAATGCATATGGGAACCTGTGCTTCGCTAATCGTTTAGGGCACAATGACTTTAACCCCTTATATGGCTGGGTCCAGAATTTTAAGGATCCCCATGGAATAAGTTGCAGGGTTATTTCTGGCGAAAGTGGTGAAGTTGACAACTCGGCAGTTCAAACGTGGCTGAACATGAACGTTGAGAGTATGTTTCTGGCCCATGCCGACCGCGACATCTACAACTTCAACGAAGCCGGACTTTTCTACAACTTAATGCCAAGCCGTACACTTTCAATGAGAGGGGAGCCCTGCACTGGACGTAAGGCATCGAAGCAGCGTGTGACAGTTTTGTTCTGGGCCAACTTAGATGGGTCGAACAAGTGCCGCTTGCTTGTCATTGGGAAGTTTGTGCAGCCACGTTGCTTCCGGAAGGTGGAGCATCTTCCTGTGACGTACAAAGCTAACGGCAAGGCTTGGATGACCCAAGACTTGTTCAGAGAATGGCTGCAAAATTTTTACGAGAAGATGATGACGCAAAAGCGCAGCGTCGTTATCATATTGGATAATTGCACCGCTCACAATGTGCACCCAAAGCTAATGGCTGTGAACATGAAGTTTCTGCCTGCCAACACCACCGTGAAGAGCCAACCGCTTGATCAAGGTGTCACAGCAACTGTGAGGGCTCTGTACAAGATGCGCATATGCGAGATAGTTGCAACGGAGGGAACCTCTCAAAGTGAACTTGAGAGCAGCTATTTACATGATAACAGCCTCCTGGTGGTGAGTGCAGCTGTCTACAATAAAAAAAAATGCTTTCAAAAAGCAGGTTTATCCCAAGATCACTCTATCGATTTGCCCACTGACGACAACGAACCAGTGTGCGCGGACGAGATGTGGTAATATTCGGTCAATAACCGCATTGTGTTTAGCGACATCAATGACTTTTTCGGCGACATCAATGACGACGCGGATGTGTGCAAAAAGGCTGCAGTCGATGAAGAAATCGTCGCAGCGGTCCGAGGTGACGATGATGAGGCTGCGCTCGAGTCCACGCCTATCAAGGATGATATTCCAGAAGATGACATGGGTTGTTCAGCCATCAGCGGGGCGGCAGCTCACTTTGCATCGTTCTCAAGACGCTGTCCACCAGCTGGTTGTTTCGTTCCCAGGCGTGGCGAGTTACGAGTGATCGTGCGAGAGTACGATGTCGTACCCCCAATGCTTACGCTCTAGGATATCATTTCAGCTCTTCGGCAAATTTAGCCAAGTATTTATAAGTGGACAATGCAAAAAAGAAATAATAATAAAACATGCACACAGCGCATTGCTTCATTTGCTGCCATAACAGTAGCATTTGTTTACGTTTACGCTGTTCCAGCATTCGGTTTTGCAGCCTTTGGGCAGCTTTAGGTTGTCTCTCGTTCCATACGCATGTGACCATGACAGTTTCCTGTCTCGACCTTAACTAGCTGGCTGACCCTTTAGCTAGCTTTGGCTGCCAGAGGGGTGCCAGAAGTCAATACCGTGTTCATTTAAGTCTGGGCTGAAAGTTTTTCTTTCAATTTTTTTTTATCTTAAACTCCATGGTTGGCTTATAGTGTACTAGAACTGTTGAGTGACGTGATCACGCCTCACCGCCTGATGTCTTCTGCGTTGCCCGTAGCGGCGGAGCTGCAGTCGATTAGTACTGAAAGCTAGGCTTGTGTGAATATTCGAATGCCTCGAATATTCGAACGAATAGTTCAGTATTTGAATTAGCTGCAATTCGAATTTAAATTATCAAATATTTTTCGAGCATTCGCAATGAACAAGTAGCTGTATATTAGTCCGCATGAAACCACCTGTAAAAGTGGTTTCACTGCAATGTAGGAATGCGAAGCCCTGAAAGCGTCTATGCGAGAGA